TGTTTGATAATCCCATCATATTGAGTGTATTTTTTTAATGTATTGATAATTCTAAGGCTTTCTAAGGCATTTGGCTCATAAGGGTTGGTTTTCCATAAGAGTAATACAAAACATTTTTCTTAATTTATGTATTTATTTATTTGTTTATTGAATAGTACAGTATACAACGATTCTATTGAATAAAAAAGCATGGATAATAATTAAGCATCTAAACACACCTGGTGAATCATTGCAGTGTGTGAAATGATTTGATACAGAACCACACACAGTTCTACCACAAGGCTATTTAATAATCAAAATGTAAAGACACTTTTTAACCACAGAATTAGTCTTCAATGACAGACATGTTGAGATTAAGTCAAACAAAAGATGAATGCACTTGACAAGATTCCTGCAATTGCCGGTGCTGACACTCACTGTTAAGTATTTAAAGTGCAGTGATTCTGGGCAAAGTCTCATCGTCTTGTGAGGGGCAGAGCAGAGTATTTTCATCCTGCACACACACCTCCACCTAGCTTCATCACCACAATTTTCTCTATACTTTCCATGTTTTTTATCTTTTTCTCGTTGATCTTTTTATTTTTCTGCTCTGTCCAATATCTATTGACTAAAACCTCCTGTGATGTTTCCCCTTTGATGTCAACCGACTCATCAGCCCATCTGACTTTACCCCTTAGAGCAGGGGTTTTCAGACTCAGATGGGTTGAGGTCTGAATCCAACATTATACTCAAATCCCAAGGTCACTTTCCTGAAGTGGGTGCAATATATCATATACTGTATATAGTTTATGTTTATGGTTGGTAGGAGTATTTTTTTTATTCCAATGTGACATGGATGTCTGTTGTTTAACTTGAGAGACAAGAACAATATCTTACATGAAATAATACAATATTGTGCTTGAAATAAGACATCATCAAACATAGAAATCATCATCAAACATAGGAATCTGCCTTTGCATAAAATAATATCACCTTTATTTGACAATGTGTTTGGGTAAAAAGTTATTTCTTTCCCTGTTCACTCTAATTGCTGTGTGAAGGCAGTCTTCACCTTTTTTTTTTCCCACACACAGCTGCAGCAAAGGGCCAGAGGGAAAAGGCGTGGAGCAGGTAGAAGTGAAGCAGGTTGTTTGACACTTTTGAGTCTGACACTGCGGTGGGAAGTTGGCGGAATCGTGGGGAGGTAGTTCAGGACGGGGGAGGAGTTGCATTGCTTTGTGTTTGCTTGCTTTTCGAGACAGTTTATTTGTCGCTTCACTCTTTCAGATGCGTTTGAGACAGACTGGGTGAGGCGGATGCGTTCTTACCAGCGCGTCACAACATGAGGATATAGGCTGTACAGTCCAGATAAAACCATCTTGGGGGTCGGTTACTGACCAGAATTTAAGTAACAATGTGTGTCAATTAATATTTTGTGTCTCACCTACAAACAAAATGTATTTAAAACATGTTTTTTTCACATACAAACAACTTTTCAAATAACATAAAGTGACTGAAAAGTACTTTTATTCAATTGAAATGTTGTCTGTTGTTGTGATGTTTACTAAAAATGTATGTATAGGCAACACAAGTGTTTGACAAGTAGAAGTTGCAAGACAATATCTGTAGTGACGATCCAGCTCATTTAGTGCAATCCTTCTAAGAAAAAAGTCTAATCATCCCTGGACGGGAACATTCTCTCCGACCCATGAGAACACGATGCACATGTCAGTAAGACTGTCGTTGCACTATGACATCGCTCATATCGGCTTTGAGCTTGGCCGTCTACAGAACCTATCGACGGTACAGCACTGACCTTTGCACTGACATTTTCAAAGTGCTCTGGATGAACCAGCTTCCATTCCACCAGAGTGTCAATTATGTGGCTTTTGAATTTCCTCACAGCGGTGATGGAGAATGGGCAGAAAATATGAAACATGAAACTCAAAACACTGCATGAGAAACACTCACAGGTCAAAACATGTCACAACCAAAAGCCTGGGAATGGTGTGTTGTAGAGATGAAGCCTTAAATGGTACAGTATGTCATATGTTTTTATATTAAATCATTTTGTTTGCATGAGTCCCCAGACACAAGATGTACAAAACCTTTGTTCAATCCAATCCAATCCACTTTATTTATATAGCACGTTTAAACAACAGTTACGTTTCCAAAGTGCTGCACAAAAAAGTATAAAATAAATACAAACTTATCCTTAGCTTCACCAAGTATAAAAGAATATAAATATATAAAACAGATTAAAACCATAAATAAAAATCGGGCGGCACGGTGGCTGAGTGGATAGCACTCTCGCCTCTCAGCAAGAAGGTCCTGGGTTCGAATCCTGGCCGGACCAGGGCCTTTCTGAGTGGAGTTTGCATGTTCTCCCCGTGCCTGCGTAGGTTTCCTCCGGGTACTCTGGTTTCCCCTACCACTAAAAATATGTACAATAGGTCTGGCATGCGCCTCCTGTTCGGCGACCCCGCTCCCATCTCTGTGTGGAGTGAGAGACAAGTGCCCAAAAAATAACAATTGTAAACCGCTTTGTGACTCTGGTCTGTGAAAGGCGGTATATAAATAAAGCTTACTTACTTACTTAGAAATAAAATAAAATAAAATAAAAACACAGAGGACCACACAACTCACGCAGTGTTGTCCTATTCTACCCAAACACTTAAAGAAGCTATATCCAATTTTTTTTTCCTAATGAGTTCATAAAAATGCTTAATTGAAAACTTGAGCTCATTGATTCAGCTTGTGTATGAATTCAGGCCGTGAAAAGTGCTGAGTAGAGACTTAGCGTGACGCCCGCTCTCCTCCACTCACAGAACGAGGAGTGGCACTGTTACAAACAGGCTGCGTCCTCTAGCGTCTACAGCTCAGGTAAACAAGAGCAGCATGGAGGCAGACAGAGGCTAACTCCTCTGGCTGTAACTGCATCAGTGATTGTTGTACAACTTACAATAAGTTGCGCTCATGGTAATGTTTGCATACGTATCAGATCGCAAATAAAACTGGATGGCTTTGTGGAATGAGAGTGTAGGGAAAATAAGAAGCCTGTGAGCGAGTTGGGGGGCGGTGCTAAACCATCCATCTTTCTTTTTTTTACCCTTAATCCATTTCTGGGTCGGAGGGGTGGCAGTCAGAGCTGCAGCCAGTTCACAGAGCACCAGCCCCTCACTGATCCTCCTGCAGGTGGTGAGTCCACAGGAGGATGGCTGCTCTAGTCTGAGCTGCCTTGCTCTTTCAGTGGGGGCTTCAGGCAAAGTGGGGGTAAGTGTCTTGTCCAAGGACACAACGACAGCAGAGATCAGTGGGAGTTGCGAAGTAAGTCTCGTGGTGGGCTTGAACCCACAACCTTCAGGCCCAAAGGCTCTACCAACTGAGCCACTGTCACCCCAAGAAAAAGCTGTTCTAAAGATGTGACAGATGCCAAACATTGCATGCATTTGGAGAGTAAGGAACTAGTTACTGTACATAGATGTTTTTGTAGCATGAAAACAATCTATGAACAGTTGATGTTCAGTGAAAACTACAACCTGCACCTTTAAAGTGGCAGTCTCTCACAGGAAAGTTTTCATATAAAATATAAATAGAGCAGGCTCTTGCAGCCAACACATCATAAATTCCAACAAGCACAAGGATTCATATTCTTTATCCTTTTAATTGGTACTGTATAATTTAAAATGTGTATAAAGACACGTACTAGTGATGATCATTACTGCAGAATGAATTCATTACTGCACGCTTATGGGACAAACGACCCAAGAAACTTTCCGATATAAAAGCCCCCTCATCAAAGAGCTTAGACTTTCTTCAACAAATTGATACTGTTTTTTTATTCAAAAACCAACCAAATTCATCAGTGTTTATTCATGCAACAAATGACAAACTAATGCTGTTAACTCACTGCGTGCAGCTCATAAAGTTTGTGGCACATCGAGTCACTTCAGCTGATTACTTGCTGTGCAAGTATTTTGGCTTCAAAATGCAAGAGTGACTGATCCCGAGAGAAGCTTTCCATTGAACTGTTGCAGAAGCAGTGCACTAACGCCATCAAGCAGGTTTAAAGTAAACGTAGGGTTCTAAGAAAATCCCTTGCCGACTAACCCCTTGTGCCGCTTATCTCTGTGTGCACACTTCCCAAATCCTTCACTTGAATCGATTTGGAAGATGACTTCATTTTATGTAATAAGATATATCATACGACCTCATTTTTCTTGGGCTTCTTTTGTTGCTGGATATCTGCAATGCTATGTGAGAACAATTCCTTTATAAAGGAAAAAACAAGAGCAACTTTGCATAAAATTATAGATTATAAAGCAGATTATATATTCCATTGTATCTCTGTGTCCACACTTTTGCTTTTGTCGTTTAGGGTTCTTTTGAAAATATGTGAAAGTTTTACATTTTTACATTCATGTAAACTTTTTCTTTACCGTATGGGAATGGCATTTGTAATTCCATGACTTTTGTATTATAATCCAGGGTTCACAGCGGGATTTTAGAAGCAAAATCCAGCGGCACCACCCAACTCTAGCCCTAAACCTAACCAAAACTTTCCACCTAAAAAAAAAACTGTAATCCAAAGAACAAGTGTGGACTTATTCTTTGGATTACATTGTTTGCAATCATGAACGATTAAAGACATGTAAAGTAATGATGAAAGGGGCTGATGTTTCTATATTAGAAATGTTTTGCTCCAGAGCTTTGATCTGACATCAGTACCCAGCGGTGATGCAGATGTCACAACTTTCTCTGGCTGGAACGGAGCAAAAGGCATACTGTACACCATTTGCAGCCATGCACAATGAATGGTCACGGGTGAAGCTTTCAGTCAAAACAGAGCCACAATGAGAGCTGCAGATAAGAAGCCTTAATAAGACCGTTTTGGACATAGCTGATTATTAGAAAAGAAAGTTCTATTAGAAAGTGCTGGCAAAAACCCTGATATACAATAACATTTTTATGAGCTGGATTTTGGAAACAACAGCAGAGTACAAAGTCAGAAATGCACTCACCGAAGCCTCATCTTCCCGGCTGTCACTGGTGTCCTCACTCTTGTGGTGTCCGGTTGAGGAGCGTGTGTCCCTCTTTCGGCTGGTGTCAGTCCCTTCCGTCTGTCTCTCTCCATCTACAGCGAGGAGAACAAACACAGGAAGAGCTCAGAAAGCAGCCAGCACCGCCATTGTCGCCTCGCCGTTATCGACATCACAACTATTAGTCTCATGATAACCATCTCCATTAATAACTCCATTGTCACGCCGATCTCTATCAGACTAATCCACCATCATTCAGAGTATCTTCATTAACATCATCTTCATCAGCAAAAACTAGGCAGCTACAGTATCACTCACTTGCAATCCTGATAAAAAAAAACCTTCCAGAAAAATTGAGATTAACTGAGAAAGAATGTAATTGGAAAAATGAAGGAAGACAAGGGAGGAGCGTGAAACCGAGTCCTGAGGGTAAGTGAAAAAGAGAAAGAATATAAAAGTGAAAAGAAGAAGGGATGTTTAAATACAGAGTGAGGTGCTTAGAAGTGAAGCCATTAGGATGCTGTCACACCACAGATGGATTATGGGAGTTTTACAGAACTGTGATGACAGTTTAGAGACTATCCACTCAGAATCAATTTCTCGCATTAGAAGGATGTGTGCGGAAGCGCATATGACCAATATTGGCAAAGACAAAAATCTTAAATTCTATTCTCTTAGGAAATGAAATTGTATTATTATAGTCTACACTGGTTTTATGCTTTGTCTTTATGTCTAAGCCCTTACTAGACTTTTACTTACTCTGGTCAGAAATAAATCAATCCTAACCTTGAAAAAAGTACTTATATGTATTTTATTAATATATTTTTCAATCAAAAAAGTAAATAGATTCATATTTCATAAGTACATTGTGCCAACGCCAACATGTTTTACAGAAGCAGAACACAACAACAGTGGAGCTCAGATGGGCTGCCATAAAGGTGGCGCCGTGTGCTATTGACTTCCCTATAAAAGGATGGGTCCCACATGTATCATGGTGAAAGTGGTTCATTATTGTCTGCTGGGCTATCATGGTCAGGTGCACATGCATGCACACACTCAGCCCAAGGATTGTGATTAAAAGACAGTGCAAGGGGATCGGGTGGCTATAAAACATAATGAGAGTTAATGGTTTTCCAATATGTCCCCTTAACGTTAAGTCTGAGTGGGCCAAACTGGAAGACTGGCAGAGCTGTGGTGGTGGTACATGGTGCTATATTGAGCAGGGAAGAAACATAACGGTTTTTTGCTTGTGTTTGTGTTTTTTTTTTGTTCAAAGCTTGAGTGCAAAGTTTGTCAGCGTTGATGGAACGGTGGATGGAGCAATATACAAGGCAATCTTGGAAGAAAACAGGTTGTAGTCTGAAAAGAGACTGGACAATTTTCCCTTTGCATACAGCCATTTTATACAAGTCCAGACCCAATTACAAATAAGAATCTGTTGCTGTTTGGTCAAAATGGTCAAAAAAAAAAAAAAAAATAAGTCTCTTAATGTACAAAACAGGTAAAAAACCACCATATAGCAGAAGGGGTTCCATAAAGTCTTAACTGGACACTGGCAAACCTTTGGTCTTTTTCTGGTTTGTAAAATAATACACATTTAGCTTTAATTTTTCAACTGTTTTTTTTGTTTTTTTGGTTTATGATATCAAGTTCTTATTTTTATTTGTGCCTTACTGCTACTGTATGAGTCAACAGCAGCTCGGAAATACAATACAAAATAAATTACATTTTTAACACACATTATCACATATTAAAGTTGATGAAGAACAAACCCAGTGCTAAACCTCACCCCACGAAGCATAAACACAAGGCTTTCCTCAGACAAAAAAAAATCTTCATAAAATCAGGGTGACAGGGTCCTGATATCCACTTAGGAGTCAGTTCAAATCCCAGTGCGCGAAGAGGCAAATGAAGTAGCGAAGCGAGAACTGGCAGGTTAATGGGAGCCAATCGACATACTTTTCATATGACCATCCTCCGAACTCCTTTGCCCTTAAAAACTGCAGTGTCATGCACCAGCTGATAAAAAATCACTTTCTGTAAGCTCCACCGATAGTGAACAAAATGATTGTATTAACAGGGTCTTACTCATTCATTGGGTTATCTGTAGACAAGCACAAAGCAGAAACAGCCTCTTTCTTTTCTAGATTTGTAATAGTTTAACCTTGCCTTAATGCCCTTTGAAAGAAAATACAAAACTTTAACTTTTATCAGTCGCTGCTGTCAGAAGTTTTCTCTGAATTACAGTGTGAGCGTATGTGTTTCAGCGTTATGCAAAACTATAGGAGATTGTGCATTGGCAAGTCGTTTCTGCACGTCTCAATATATCTTTGAACAGGACTGACAACAACCGCAGGGTTTTACTGCAAGGCGCTAAGTGATAGACAGAATGGTGATACAGCAGAATACTAAATATGGCGGAATCATAGAAGAGAGCTGTGGGAGCTCCAGCTACAACAATCAAGGGCAAATACGGCAGGAAATGAGATTATATTAAAGCAATGAAGTCAAAACATAAAGCTCTTCAGCCTGCAGGGTACTTTTTGGATACATTCCCGGATAGGAAAATTACCACATAAATTTAAGGTTTTCTCAGTCTGGACAATGATAGACTGAGAAAACACACAATTCAATGTACAAGATTTTAGATACAGAATTGACAAGTTTATGAATCAGGAGGGTCTGGGGACAGTGATGAACCAGGACTTTTATGGATATACGATTGCTTTTCCTGTTGTTTGACTCTCAAATATGTTGTTGGCAAATTGACCATTTTGTCAATCTGTCCTCCGAGGCGACTGCTATAGTGATAGACCAATAACATTTAATTGAATAAATGTACGCATGAGGTCCAGAGAACAGAACGTATTGAGTGTATAGATTTTTGTATTTTCACGGTTGACTACAGAACTATGTGATGTTTTTAGCTTCCCAATGAGAGCTACTGTTGTAATGACATCATCGGAGGACTTCAGAGAGAGCTTTCAAGCTGTAGTGATGTCCCTCCCCCCTCCTACAGTGACCTCTTCTGTTGTCTTGGTTAAACACATCCCGAGAGTATAGCCCTTGTGTCTTTGTCTCCACTGCTGAAAATCACACAGAGGAAGCCGGGCTCGATAGTCATTGTTGTGTTAACTTTATCTGTTTGTAGATTTGTGTTTATAGCTGCACGCTGCATACAAACAAGAAAATCCTGATATCAGATGTATTCCCAAAACGTTAAGAGAAATACTGTATAAATTAGCTTGATAAAATTAAAATTGAACATGGCTCAAAACATGAAGTTAAAGTACAATATATGCATAGAAATAGAAGAGACAGGGGTTCCTTCATGACCTGCTCCATCATAAATTTTGTCGCTACACTCTGCACACTGTAATAAAGGTACCACCAATCACAGAAGTAATGTCTTCCCATCTGAACATCTTGGAAAGAATTAACATAACTTTTCTTCATTTTCTGCTTATGCAATCACAGGTGTCTGTATTGGCTTAGCTTGAGGTTGAGCATGGACTGTTATTTAAGCCTTCTAACTGTTACTCTTGCATGTGGTTCTGTTAGCATTATGCAACTAGTAGCCAAGATGTCTATATTTTTTTTACAGATCACATATAACTTTATTTATATGTGAAAATACAATTTCATACCTTTAATAAGATAAAGTAAAGGGAAACAGCATACTGTACCACCAGTGAATTATTGAAGGAGCTGAGCTCGTTCCCTAGTTTCCTATATTTAAACACTATGACTTCACTTTGTGATGCAAGTTTTATTTCCGATGAGCTCTACTGCTGCCTTAAAGGCACACTCAATATATTTTCATTTCTTTCACGTAAAACAAAAGGTGGCTAAACCACTGTCTCTAACTATCGCCAACATCTAACTAGAACACAGATGTTTTATTAAAATTGAAGTAGGGCTTCAAGATAATGCACAATGTGAGGTTTATACATGTGGACAAATTAAAAGTGTTTACTGTAAAAAGTGTTATAAAAATATAATTATAGAAGCTGCTAGAAATTTGAAGACATTCCGATTCTGCAGTCTTCATCAGGGCAAAAGTATAATCTTGTCAATGTTTTGTTTTTACTTGAAGAAATAACAACTATCTATAGAGGAAGTATTTAATACTTGATAGAAAAACTTTTAAGTCAATAAACATTTTGAATAAGCACAATGTATTGACATTTATTAAATCCCTTCCAGACATCAGAATTAATGACATGGATCAATGGCTTAGGTCTAAGCATTTCATTTTAGCCTGCAGTGGATCATTGCAGACATGACATTTTAAATTTGAATTAGGCTTTAGAAATAAAGGGAATAATTGGTTACATTTTGACATCCTCTGACCCATTTCCAGCCATCCATTTACAATATACGGCTTAACACAAGTGCTGAGCTTGTTAATTTTACAAGACTCAAGGCTTCTTGCTCTGCAATCAGGCCTGACATTATTGGACATGCTTGACCTGAGGCAATAGAGGATGTCCTCTTCTTACCGACATTTTCACTCAAGAACACATTTTGCAGCTTTTTGTGCACAAGCTAGAATCCCAGGGTGCTCCATATTAAAATTTGTGATGGTTAAACTGGACGCACCTCATGGTGGCCAAATTGAGCAAGCTAATTATAGCAAATAAACTGCACTGATCTGTGCCATTAGGCAGTCAGTAATGAAGCAAAGTGGAGGGCTGCTGTGACACTGATGAATCGGCCGAGCTCTCATTATAATGCATTAACTGGTCTTTATAGTTGGCCTGCTCCTTCTTCAAGTGTAGGGTGCATAAGAATACGGTGTAAGGATGAGCTTAAACAAGAGCACTTAAAAAGTGGACAATGGTATCAAAATACGGAGTGAAAAACTGCTTAGTTGTTCAGATACCGAATCATTTCAGAGTAGCATGACATATAGGGATATATACTGCTCTGGGTGGAGCAAGACAGGTCAGAGCAGCACAGATGGAGTAGCCTCTGGGTAGAGCAGGACGGGTCACAAGGTGGAGTAGCCGCTTGGTTCGGACCATTTTCTCTGCTCTAGTCCAAAGTAAAACGCTAAATGCTTCATTTGCATTTTTCAAAAAGTTAGCTTTCT